CCTGTTATTATTATTATTATTATTATTATTATTATTATTATTATTATCATCATCATCATCATCATCAACATAATAAATATAAATTATTTTGCCATCAAAAATAATAAAACACTTTCCATAATATTTTCACATCTTAGATCATAGTGCATAATATCACATCCATGCAAAAATAAAAGTCCACAAGATATACCAACAGCAATTTTTAATTTAAGAGGCCAACTCATATTAAATTTTTCATAAAATTCTTTCAAATTTCCTTTCTCAACCCATTCGTAAACTAAAACATTTTGTGTTGTTGTTATACTTGAATTTGTTGAATTGTGATAATTCCAATCTTTAACAACCGAAAGTGCATAGAATTTTAAAATATTTGGACAATTATTTAATTTGGGGAGTAGAATAAGATTATCAAAAAATTTTTGTGGCTGTTGCTCATATCTTTTACATGCAACTAGAATACTTTTTGTTTTCTTCTTTTTTTCAATACCACTGCCACCACCACTTGACAGCCACTTTCTAACTTTAACATTGCCAGCACCACCATATTGATCTTTCCTCACAAATTGATTGTATATATTTATTAATTCATCAGATGGAATCTCTTTGACTTTCATTTCATTTGAATTATTTGTATTATTATTTTCATTCAAGTGTGCTTTGACTAATATGGTTTCTTCGAAAATTGGGTTAACTAGAAATTTTGATACTGTTATAGATCCTTCAGCTCTTTCAAGAAACTAATAAAAAAATGATATTATATTTTTAAAAAAATTAAATTAATAGTTTACATATGGAGTATATTTATTAATTTACCTTAGTAATTATTGAAATATCATGTTCTACAGCTTTTAAATCTTTCTTTTTTTGTGTTACAAAATCAAAAGGCTTCTCCAACTTTAAGTCTGATAAAACTTTATCAAATTCTTTTGTGACTCTTTCAAAACGTCTTTTAATAATGTTAGTAGTTCTAAATTTATGTAAATTCCAAAGAAATGACAAATCGGTAATTAATTGTTGTGATTTCTTTAAAGCTGCAATTAGACTTAATAAATTATTATAGTAATTTTGATCTAGCAATAAAACCATCAACATCATATTGTTACTGTTGTTGTTGTTGTTGTTGTTATTATTATTAGAGAATGAAGAAGATCGTGGAGATCTGGGAGACTTTGACGAAGCTTTGTTACTCGAGTTGAGATGCGATAATGGATCAATGGAATTTTTAACAAATAAACTATTACGCTTTTTCGTTGATGACGAGGGAGATGTTTCTGAATTACTCCTATGATTAGGTCTAACGGGTGATACGTTTCGTGAAATGTTAGAATTAGAACGTACAGGCGAAACAGCTCTGCTTGGTGCCCGACTTGGTGTCCTACTTGGTGCTCTACTTGGTGCTCTACTTGGCGCTCTACTTGGTGCTCTACTATTGCCACCCATCATGGCTTGAGTAATTGCTTGACTAATAGCTTGACTATTTCTTCTTGATTTAGTTCCATTATTGTTAAGACCTGTGGGTGATACAGATCTACTAGGGATATATTGGCTGTTTCTACGTGATTGTGGAGATCTTCCATTACTATTACCATTTGAAGGTGAAACTGAACGACTAGCTGATGGAGCTTTAGCAAATAATCTGCTATTTCTTTTATTTTCGTTGGTAGGTGAAGATGGTCTGCTTGGCATTGCCTTTTGGCTATCTTTACGTTTTGAAGCATTTTTTGATTTATTGCTGTTTTCATCATCATTATTGTTAGCGTTTTTTGTATTTTTAGAGCCAAATTGTTCAAAACCGAAGAACATTTGATTTACAATACGCTCAGAAATTTCAGATTGCTATAAAATTGAATTATGGGAAGATGGAATGAATAAAAAAAAAAAAAAAAAACAAAAATACATAATTACTAAATTTTCTTTAAATAAAAATTCCGATATTCTTTTATTTACCAAAGTGTCCAAGTAACGTTTGCTTTCATGCATAAAAGGTTTACGTTCAGATTCTTCATAAGCAACACAAGCATTGATTAGTTGATCTTCAATCTTAACCAAATTGGGCCAACATGTTTTTCTCCATTTTTCTTCTTCCAATAATCGAAATGAACTTTGGAATAGACGACGTGGGTCAGAAGCCTTTTTCTCAAATTCAATCATTTTCTGGAGGCGATGAATGAGGCGAGGGTGATAAATGAGAGGAAAGAGAGTAAAGAAACACATCAATTGATTAATTAGCGATTAACGTTAATGTATTTGCGGTTTTGGTTTAATTGACATAATATTTATTAATCCTAACCTCGATTAAAGCACGTCTTTCTAACATCCATCTATATATCTTGGCACATTTAGCATAAAGATCTTGAAGACGATCAATTTCTTGCGCGAGTAATTCGTATACTTCTTCAGCAGAATTCACTAAAATTTTCGAGAGGTTGAGCGAACGTAAGTGTGATTGATCAGTTATAAACAAATAAACAAACAAACAAACTAAAATGATTTTCCTAAAAAAAACTATATGTTTAACTTACATGAATGTAAATTTGAAAAGAATTCATCACGTTCATATTGAGGAACCAAACATTTATCCCATAATTCACCCAATTGTACTGTATACTACATTTCGTTATTACATCAATATAAATATATCATCAATAAAATATATCGTTAATAAAAGGAACAACAACAGAAACAACAACAATAACAATAAACCCTCATTAAATAAAACAAATAATTCATAATAAACCTCGTCGATAGCCTTTTGAATTCGTTGTCTCATAATTTCACGAAGGCTTTCATATTCTTTTGATAATTTATCGATATTCTCTTCGTCCAACGAATCACTAAATTCCAATCTTTTCTCTTTCGGAATATCCAATTCTTCATAGAAGTTATGTATAGTTTTCTTCAACATCATCAATTTCTGTTTACGTTCTGTGTAACTTTTTTCCAAGCCGAGGATTTTCTTTTTTAGAATTTCTAAATGATCCGATGTCAATTTTAGCCCGGACGGGAGCTGTGCAGTATAATAAATGTAATGGCATAATTCCAGATCCAGATTTATAACTTGGCCTTGTTCTAATTTATCGGCATCATTATTTATAATATCGCTATTATTACTATTTGTAAGACTATTACTACTAAGACTATTATTATCATTGCTACTATTATTGTTCTTATTTTTTAGCGTTTCTTGTAACGCTTCAAAAATGTCCTTTGGATTTGGTTTATCAACAAATAATTGTGATAAAGCCTTATCTATTTCATCTTTTGGTTTGTAGCAAAGAGTGTCCCAATAATAATGAAGTTGAATCGATGATTCTTCAAATTCGTTTCGAAGACCAAGCTAACAATTACAATAAGATATGATATGACGAATGGTAAATAATCTATTAATTGTTAATAAGATGCATTATTGTAAAAAATACTTTACCACAACACGGCTATATTCATCATACTTGCACCATATCTATAAATCAAAATAATATATATGTATATATATATATATTAATGAATTATGAATGAATATATGTTTAAAAACAGGATTTAAATAAAATATATATACAAACCGGACGAACTACAGCTGTACCCAAATTACTCTCAAACACCTAAAAAAATAAAAATTGAAATAAATGGCAACAATAAAAACAATGGTAATAAAAATAATCCATCTACTAAATCTACAAAAAGTAGCATTCCTCCTTCTCCATCAATAGTATTATCATCATCAAAAAAGCCTTTGTCTTCTGCTTCCACTACTCCTTCAAATTCTTCATCTTTACCAACACCTATAACTAGGCGTACTAATTCTGCACCGGTTAGGCCAAGACCAAAAAGCATAGTAAATGGCAATGTTTCTAGTTTCTCTAACGAACCATCATCGATGTTAAAAAGACAAGTTAATAAAAGAATGTCGATGATTGTTGAAAGCAGTAGATAATTTATAATAGACAAATAATGACATAATGACATATAGATTAATGAAGATAGATATTGGATTTATTCATTAAAAAAATATTTAGAAACATAATTATGAAGAATATAAGATGTTAGAATTAAATCAATAGAGCAAAAAAAAAATTTTTCGTAACAAAATTAGAAAAAAATGACACTTGTTTGGAGAGAATGTATATGAGAGAGAGAAAAAAGGAAGGATTAATTAATGATTGTAATTTATCATTATTATTGTTTATAATTATTATTGACAACAACATACCTTTGATTTCGAATGGTTGTGAAATGGCCATAACTATATGTTTGTTGTCGTGATGGTATCTAAATTCATAAGTGCCAACTTCCCAAGGCAATTGATCACCCTTAAACCACAATTCACTGGTGACATTAGTGGCAGTAGTAGTAGTAGGTGTTGCTGCTGCATTATTATTATCAAAATCTTCATCTTCGGGCAAAACATACATGTAACGACCTCTACTAGTGACACTAGTAATATTCTTTGAGGAATTAGACGTAACCTTATAAACACCGATCCAATCTTTATGTGAATGATTATTTGGTGCAGTCCACTTCAAACGGATCGGAGAGCCAAGTGTGAATATGATTGGTTTTGATATCGTTTTAAATTGTTCTCGTGAAGAAATTGGTGTGCTTGATGGTGTGATATCTGTGGAATCCTCAGGAGCTACAAGGACTATTGAGTATCTTGAAACGTCATGATTTTGAATTCGACCAACAGCTTGGCTAAATAATAGAGAAGGAAATTATATAGAATAATATAAATAAAAAATGTAACATCTATCTATATATTTACCTTATTAATTTGACACGAGAATTTTGTAACATTGTTTTAGCTTCTTCGACAACTTCTTGAAGTTTAGGTTTCGTTGATTCAACAAATTCACCTAAAGCATCAGCAGTTTCTTCCACCACCCTTTCAACAGTTTCGGCAAGTTCTTTAATGACCTTTTGAATAACTTGAATCTCTGTAGTTTCACGAATTTTAGACATTTCTTTTCTAACAGTGGCAGGAATGATTTTTAGACGTTTGATAGTCTTGGTGATTCCTGCCTCTTTCCTGACTTTGTCACCATAAAGTTTTTTCATATGAGGGCCCTCGACATATCTCAAAAATAGAAAACTTGAAATT